TCATAAACAACTCTTCCTGTTGTGCGACCAATCTGTTGTGCAAAAAAAAAAACAAGATTACATGGTTATGCCAATTTGCAATTGTGTGACTTGTATTTCACCAGTTGTAATTAACTTCCACAACAGAAACAAGACCATAAATTAAATACATGTTAATGAAGTGGTCTAAAAAAATTCTGAAAAATTTCTCAATTACAAGGTTACCCAGCACTTTGTGGTCATACATCCATTGTGTAGTACAATGTACATTCAATTAGTCTATAATTTACATAACTTGATCATACGTGAAGCAGCTGTCCAAAAGGAATTGTTTTTAAGTGACATTTTGACAACCTCAGTAGGAGTCATCATCAGGTGTGATCATCAGAGCCATAAGTAGAATCTGCTTCTAAAAGTATTGACATTTTGACATTTAAGTCTCAAGATTCAACTCACACTCTTCTTTGTGAATTAGGAGAATTTTGTCTTATTCCAAAATAACCCCCCTCTAGCTGAAAAGCTTCTCTGGTCTCATACCTTGTTAACAAGATAGCTAACTGATTGAATCGCAAGGAGAAAAAAATACACTTTAGACACTTCTGGGAATGACAGGGTTAACAATTAGAATGAAATGTGTTACCATGTACTGATTTGGTGCAGGGAATTGTCCTTTTTTGTTGTCTCTTTCAAGGGCAATGGGAAGATGAAAATTCCTGTAACAAGAGAATGGGAAGATATCAAATCGATGTTATGATAAATGGAGAGCTAATAATGAATTTAATACATGTCGACTTTATTCTTGATGTGTTACTAACTGAAGTCCAAATGATCAAGAGAGTAAAGCTGAAAATTGATCACCATTAAAAAAGTGTTACTCAGTCATGTAGAACAACTCCTAGGATGGGATTGACAGTAGATACAGGATACTGTATTATACCGGTACTTAAAAACATTACTTATCCATAAAAATTTTGATAGCTCACTGTTATTTAATATTCAAGTAATACTAAGAATTACACAATTATACCTTGTAACAGAAGATTTGTTGAAATTGTTTTCCCTTGGTACTGAAGGATCATAAAAACCTGACAGAGAGGAGGCAGGTACATGTATCATGATTTTTATTGAAAATAATTAACCCACAGCCATGAAACTCTCAAGATCTGATTATTAATTCTCCTCTCTAACTGCTTCAGACATCCTAGTATATTAGTTACAAGAATTTGGTGCAAGATCAAGATAAAAACTTCTTCCTGATAAGTTTCAGTATTCTCATCACCTGTTTGCTGGATAATGTATGGATATTATAGGGAGACATTGCATGTTAATCACTTCTGGGAGTTAAAGGGTTAACTCCGAAGATTTGATTGTTAATCCTCCCCTTTAGCTGCCATACATCTCCTTGTAAATAAATAAATCATGACAATCAGGTTCCGAATCAAGATTAAAACTTCCAGCTGATAAGTCTGATAATTCTTATTTCCTGTTTGCTGGATATTGTATAGATACTACAGGGAGAAGTTACATGTTAATCACTTCTGGGAGTTGAAGGGTTAATATCAACTTTGTCAGGGTGAAATACTAAATCACCAAATCAAACTTTATTAAAGACATGGTGGAAGCCATTATGACACACTGATCATGTCTTAAATGTACCTGGGCCTGGTCCTGTATTCTGCACTCCTCTTGGAAAACGCTTTGCCTGAGGAAAACAATAACAAGCTTGACATCCCATAACTGGTGATTGACAAGTTTGAATTTGTTTTGACAGGAGGAGGAACTTCAATATGAGGATCAGAAAGCACTTCGCTTACAAAATAGAAAGACTATACTTGAATACAAGTTGCCATGCCTGTGTAATCAGCATTGTTAGATTTGAACAACACTTTGTTCTAGTGGTTTTGCACTTACCTTGGAAACAAAACCACCAAATCCTTTCTTTGAGAAGGAAGTGCTTCTAGTTTCACTTGATTTTAGTTCTCCATAAGTCCCAGGACCTGGGTTTACACTCTGCACAAAAATTAGCAAATTGTATCTTTAATCAAGATTTCAACTCATTTTCCTCTCTCTCTCTCTCTCTCTCTTGGTCTACCGAAGCGTTGATCAATTGAAGGTGCATAAGTTGCATAATGAGAAATTACCTTGGGATGAAAAGTTGTGTCCATCTTTTAATAGTCATATGTCAATAAGATGATACTATGGAAAAAAAATGTTCCTGTCCCAGTGACCTACATGAATATGAACTACTTTCATGTGCAGATGTTTATACAATGTAAATGACTTAATTGCAGCTAAATTGAAATTTCTGGCATAAAATTCAAATTGGAATCAAGCAGTACATTTTGTACCTTATGCGTCTTTCATGTGATGAAGTCTTTATGATTTAATTTTGCTAATCCCAACTGCCATAGTCCAATCCCTGTTCTCAAAATCCCACTCAGATTTCTCAGTTCCAAAAGGACACAACTCCCATCTCTCCATATAATTATTTCGCAACTGTGTTGATAAGAATGTACCCTCTACATGACTGCAAAAAGGCGATCAACCACTCATATCCACATCAAGCTGATCAAACGATCAAACTTATATGTGAAAGTATTCGGGCACCAATAGTGTCGGCTACAGGAATATCAAATTACATACTTGACTTAAGCAAAATATATAAAAACAGCAATTCTTATTTTAGAAAAGATGAACACACTTACCACATCAAACCCTTCAAAGCGTTTGGATCTAGAAAGGAATCCTTTCTTTTCTGAATTATCACTCACGATTGTCTGATATTTGCTGGGGATAGAGGCCGATGCAGCTGTTTTGCCATGACCTTTTCAATATGGAAAAAAAAAATAATAGTAATAACATTACTTAAGTGTATGGCACAAAAATTAGAAGGGAACATAAGCAATAAACAACAGCTTCAAAAAAACTGCCGATGTTCATTGAACTATTCCTCGATAAAATGCTTTTAACATACTGGTGTTTACTTTTTATCCTTAGTCAACCGAGAGAAAATCGAAAAAACTAAGGCCTCGTCAAACTGTCCAAAATCTATGGATCATCTGATCGATCGAACATGCAAAATATTCTTCACTTTTCTTTGAAACACTCGAACGCGAATAGTTTTGATTTTCGTTCGAGAATCATTAATCGATCAATAGTCTATAAATTATCTAAACCTATACCTTTGTGAATCCTTCCTGTTGTTATAATTCCTCCAACAGCTCTCCGTTGCGGCTCCTCAACCTGCACACTGTCCGCCATTTTGCTTTCTAGCCTAAGTCTCCTTGGTAACCAAAGCAAAGCGCTTTGCGACCAGGCCTCCGGATCCTTTGAAGTGACGCTTTCAACTAATCGCCACATGACATTTTCAGGAATATTTTTCTATAATCCAATAGTAAAAGCGGAAACAGTACAAGTTTATTTCTCTTAAATGTACCATGTATGATCTGGAGAACAAGAAGTAGTCTGAGATTTTTCGCTTACGCTTTTAGTGGACCAACGTGTGCACATTTTGTTAAAAAAACCAGACGAGAATTTATTTAAAATATTCATTATTGGATATCTAATCAAATGAAATGAGCTCCAATGAGTCGAAGATGGAGAAAACAGGTGATTTTTCCTTTCTAATAATTTTCTGTTTAAAGTGAGTTGATGAAAACCAAGCAAAGAAAACTTTAATGATGAACGATAGTAAATTTACCGATGAAAAAAGGCCATGTTGCCACTATAATCTAAGGCTTGGAACAAAAGGTCTGTCTAGCTTTACATAAGTTCCCTTTACATTTTAAATCGTATTTGTTTGTAAAACTTAGCGTGAAGAGTTTCGTGCACAGTGCGGCGAAGGAATATTGGTCCAAAAAAATGATTTAGATATTCAATTTACCAGTATAATCATGTATTCTCGAACGCCAACTTTGCCAAATTAGATGCTTGGAATGGTCAGTGACATCGCGTGCAAAATTGTATTTTCTCAATTATTTACTCAATTTTTTTTTAAAATTCAAAAACTTTCTCAGTTTAAATGTGCTAAGAATCTCACTTAAATGGTTTTAATGAGCACTTTTAGAGCGTTAAGTCGTTCCAGGGACACTTTTCCTTTCTTATTCAGAGCAAATGAAATACTCATTCCGCTAATCCTATATATTCGAACGCAAATCTTCTTTCTCCTAATTATCATTTGCGCAAAAACAATAGAGGACTTTTTCCCGCCACGTGTACAATGTAGCAGAAAGTCTTATCTAATATTCGACCAATCCTAAGGCTGCATTTAGAATATGATTATTATGATCCAATCACAATGCGTTAAAGTTTGTTTTGAAGTGTGAAAAATGCGCGCGACTAGGAGGAAAACTGACGCGTTAGCGACTCAACAGCTGATCGCTGCTAACAAAAGCTATTAACATGTTCCATGGTCTATTCAGATATACTGCCAGGGTGGCATAAATATTCGAACATAGATGAAAAAAAAAGAGAAAGGTGACCCACTATTTTCTGTACTACGAAAAACCCGGCGACAGCATTGTGCCTCCTTCTACACCTTTGTAGGTGTGAATGAAAATCTCTGAACTGACGAGGAACGAGTTTACGTTCGGCGCATGGATATATGATAAGCACAATTTACAAATGAAGGTCTTTTAGTCTTTTACAGCTGACAGAGTCACAGACAAGTTCGGAATTAATCCACACCCGTGAAGAAAACTGGAATTATTTTTAACATTATCAGCAACAGGCCAGCTTTTCTTCTTGGTTTCCTTAAGGCTTCAAATGACATTTTCTTAATTTCCAAGAACTACTTTAGCGGCGAACATTCGTAAAGATGACTGGAATAAGTCAAATACATTTTGGCTGATAAAATCACCGGAGGAAGTCTCATCTTGACAAGTTATTTGCCTAAGATTTGGTAAAGTATAATAATTTGAAAGTCCCACGGTTCTATAGTTATGTCACAGCCGAAAAAGACTCGAAAGACGCGCTCGAGATCGTCGCGCGGGAAAACAACTCGCGACGAATCTCGCTTTGGCATTCGTTATTTACATCATCATATGTTCGCGGGAGACACGCCTGGTGATCAACAACTCTGCCCGTATGAGTGCAAATGCGGCGCGTCGATGTCTTCAATTTACAGCAGAAAGACGCTGACTCTGCTCGTAATTTCAATTCTTGTTCTTCTGATCGGCGTTACATTTATGCTGGTCGGCTACCTGATTCCTCGAAGATCAGTTGTTTACTTGGAGAAAAGCGATGGTACTCGAACGATAGTGGATGAAACTGCCATTTCGTTCAACACACTGTTGGACGATTTCACTCTGGTTGGAACAGCACTGGTACCGCTAGGAGCTTTATTATTCTGTGTCATACTAATCGTACCACTCTGTAGTTCGTCTTCGGTTCAGAAGAAAGGGCAATATTTCAAAGCACCAACTGAGGACGCGGCTTCCTCGGTGACGAAGACCAAAACTCCGGAAACTGTGTCAGTCGCTTCAGAGGACGGTCGCTCACTGAGCAGCGCTTCATCTCAATCAACGATTCAAAAAATTCCTGTTCTAGCTCTCGTCCACAACGTTCAACCGGAGCAAAAATCTAATAGTACTGGGTCTTCTGTGGGTAAAGGCAGAGATTACAGAAAGAAAACTGGCAAGTTTAAGGACTCATTTGACGAGGAAGAAGAGGAGGAATAATTTAGCCTAAAAAAATACAACCTGAATTTCCTGTCTTAAAAAATTGGCTGTATATTATTCTTATGATTTAATTTTGTTAAATTCTGAGGATTGATTTTTATGTTTTTCACCATTATCGCTGTTGTAAGTTTGTATAATTTTCAACAGAAAACGAATTTAATGATCCTTGAGTGTCGAATCCAAATTCTCACCCTTAGCCGGTACACTACAAATTAAGATCACAAATGAAATGAATTTCCATATTTTTGTACGAAAAAAGAAAACATACCGGCATCTCCCAATTAACATAGTTATTTAAATTTCCGCTTAAGGAGAAAGCTGGGTTTGTATCGGAAGGGAAGCGAAGGATGGAAGAGTGTCACAATATTTGCTCGGGAAAATGAAAACTGTCGAAAGACAAGGAAGCTGGGAGAGGGTGTATTCACCAGTGTCAATAAAGAGGATTTAAATCATTTATACGGCTTGTCTCTTCAGATTTTTGCATAACCAATCACACAAGGAACACAATGTACCAAACAAGACAGCTGTCTAAAAAGAGTGTACGACAGGAAACAGAGAAACAAAAGACAGACGAAAATTTCTTTGTGAAAAAAAAATTGATATGTGTAGCGAATTATAAAGGTGACCTTCTTGAGCTTGAATCATCAGTTAGCGTGTTTGAAACGGATTACGTTACCTAACGTTTTATTTTTCTCGTCTGTTAATGGGTTCAAGTTGCTCTTGAAAGATATTCTGACCTAAGGGTCAGATATGAAAATATGAAAAAAAAATCTATTCACGGCCTTGTCAATCGTTGCCTGACTCGAGATGGAAAGATAAATGTAGACATCACATTAGCATCTAATACTATGATTTTGGCGGCGCTAATTAAATCTCATAGACGAAATGCTCTTTACTCTTAAAGTAGGTGGAAGTCAAACAGACTTCGGAAACTGAAAGACACGTTGCTAGATCTAACGGTGGCTAATTCTTTTAAACAACTCGCTTTGTTGGCCATTCGCCGATTAAATCTCATAGACGAAATGCTGTTTACTGGAAGTCAAACTTACTTCAGAAACAAAGAAGGGAACAAAGCGAGTTGTTTAAAAGTTGCAATATCGAATCGGCCTCGAATTTTGTTTTTGTTTTTTGAAACTTTCTTTTCGCAATTGAGAATCAGTAACCGTAAGTTCTAACAGAGAGTTTCCATGGCCTGTTCCAGGGGCAAGCGGGAAAAAAAGCGAGGGGAAAACAGATTTTCTCTCTCACGCCCTTACGTTCATCTCCACCGGAAGACTTGGCACAGGCTACCGAGGCCGAACCCTGGTAAAATAAAAGAGTGCTAAAGGGATTCATACCGAGAATTAAAAAGCTTGCAGTATCATAACGTTACTCACGGGTCCGAAAAATACTCAACTTATTTGGGTCGCAAATCGGGAAACGCAATTGTATCTGTCGAAATGAAAGTGTTTGGAAACATTGAAAGCATTATCAAAACCCAGCCAAGCGTTTCTGAAACTATACAATCCATTGCACAAGACTCATCTGTTTAAGATAAGATGGGAATGAAGAAATATTTCTCTTCTCTCACTCAATTCACACCTGCAACAATAAAAAGGCGAAAGGAAAAGAAATCACAGGGCTTGGGAGCGAGCAAGATGGTCCACGGAAAATAAGTTCAAGTTGATTGATTCTAAAAGGAAGGGGAAATGTCATTAAACACACCTTCATTACGCTTGCGTCTTAAAAACTTGCCGCTTTCAATACTTTCTTTACCATTTTCAATGTTGAGAAACTGTAAACCTTTTCCACTTGCCCCTTCCCCCCCCTCTCCAACCCCCCCCCCCCCATCTGACACAAGGAAGGGGGTGATTGCGTGATGTCTGCTTTCCACAATTGTCGTCAACAATAAGTTTGTTTTTGTTTCCCATAATTCCTTACTTCTCATTTGTTATGAAAACAAAGCCATGCAATGCAGGTTTAATATTACAATAAAGGCTAAGATTTCTTGAATACTAGATGTGTCTGATCGCTTTTATGGAAGTTTTCAAAAGTTACGCTCGTTACTTGTCTCAACAGTGATAGCAAATGGCGTCCATCTTAGGGCCATCGGAGGAAAAAACTAACGGTACCAAGTTAGCGCGACTGCTAATTGATGGAGGTACACAAGCGCTCAGGAACGTTTTAGAGTCTCTCATACATCCGCCTTCAACACTGCAAATTATGTTAAACAACAACAAGGCGATCCTCGCTAACTTAAAGAGCAGACGTAAATTATATGATAGCCAGTGGGAAAAGCTATTTCCTCCATCGGGTGCCCTACCAGACTCAAACACATTTGATATTACTCTTCTACATTTACTGCTTCGTGAAATCTGTCCCGCTTTGATTGAACCTGCCACAGGATGGCACGAAATGCCGGCAAAAACAGATCACAGTCGTGAAGCGGAAATCGTCCGGATAAAATGCTTGCGAAACAGCCTGTGTCATAGCATTTCCACCGGTGTTCCTAATGGTGAGTTTGAAGACAAATGGAACACAATTTCTCATTCTTTAGTAACCTTAGGGCTCGATCAGCTGGAAATAAGCCGCCAAAAAACCGAAGACATCGATCATGGTACACAACGACGAGTGGAAGAAGAAGTGGAGAAATGGAAACTTGAAATCGAACCGAGAGTGCAGATCTTAGAGCACGAGGTACAGCAGCTCAAAGATGGGCGAATTTCAAGTAATAAACAGCCCATTTCAGAGGTGGGTGAGTCTTTTGAGCTTCTCAATTGTCTTCCAGATGAGGTTCAAGATGTGTTTGGCCGCTCGGATGAAATTCAACGAGCTGTAAAATTTGTTCAAAGCGGAACAGTCTCCATTGTTTCCTTAACCGGTGGACCAGGCTTCGGGAAGACCACTGTGGCCAACAAAGTGGCCCACGAGCTTGCCAGACGCGAAAACAGCCGAAGTGTGTTATATTGCTCACTAACATTCCAATCATCACTAAACGATATATTTACCAAAATGATTCTTACCTGCAGCAAAGGCCTTTCTCAGCCGCCAGAGCATCCAAAACACTGGCTTCTGAACTGGAGCAAACAGCAATCTAGGAAAGTCACATTAATTCTAGACAATGCAGATCGTGCCCTCGAGTCTGAAGATCGAAACCAATTTGTTGACATGTTACGTGAAATGAGGACCTTGTCAAGCCAAAGTCTAACTTTTATTACTACATCTAGAAAAATAGTGGATGCCCCCAGTCGTGATTCAAACATCAAAACCATAAGATTGAATTCTCTCCCTTTGCATGAGGCAACCAAGGTTCTTGTTTCAAAGGTTGGCGATAAGGAAACGAGAGAGGAGCTCTCCCAAACGGAAAAAATGATCTCACTATGTGGTTCTGTCCCTTTAGCCCTTTGCATAGTTGGATCTTTGCTTTCGGACTACAAAGAGGAAAAATTAATCGAAATTTTCGAAAAGAAACCTCTAGATGTTCTTCAGGACAACAATTTGTCGGTTGAAAAGGCCATTAAGGCATCATTCGATCTCTTAAGTGAAGCAGAGCGACAGGCACTGGCAATCATGTCTGTATTTCCAGGTTCATTCGATTCAGATGCAGCTGAGGCTGTAATTACAGCTGTAATGGGTTCTGAAGTTCAGCCAGTTTTGATTCTCCAATCGCTCAGAAACAGGTCTCTCTTGGAGCAGCCAAGTTCACGTAGATATGAAATTCATCAGCTTATCAGAATGTTTCTATCGAAAGATAGTCACGTCAAGTATTCACAGGCTGTTGCTCAAGGTGAACAAGAAGCCTGTGCCCACTTCATTTGTCGACTTGCTTTCAATGCCAATATGTACTGGAGCAAAGATAAATGTAAAGAATCTGTTTTGGAATTCAGCAAAGACAGACACAACTTCGAGTATTTCTTGGAAATTTACATTCGTAATGTAGATCCTCTTCAGTGTTCCACAAGTATATTTTTTGAAGACTTTCCACAAAAGAGTATGTATTTAGAAATGTGCCTTTTACCTAACTTCTACATAAAAATTTTGGAAAAACTCTGGAAGTACTTCCACTCAGTAAGTCACCATGTTCACATCGTTGAAGTTTTGTGCCTTCTCGGACATGAAAAGAGAAAGGTGGGCAAACTAGCACAGTACAACTATTTGATGAATCTTGCCAAGGGAGTTTACTTTACCAATTACAAAGCTTTCAAAAGAAACGGTTTGTCGCAAGTATATTTTTTTAATAGCTATGCATATTTTCTTTCGGTACTAAGGCTGCCCAGTCGATCGGAAATGGTCTCCAAAGTCTATGAAATAGCTTTAATTTTGTGCCGTAAAAACCTCAAAGAACATCCAGAGACTGCAGCTACTTTGCAGTACATTGGTCGGCATAGCAAAAGTAGGAAACATCTTCAGGATGCAATGGACATGTCTACCCTGTGCCTCGGAGAACATTCCATGACAGCTCAGTGTCACAAAGCCATCGCAGACTTCTACTTTGGACCTTCTTTCTACAGGAGGGATAACACAGACATGGAGAAATGCTTTGAGCATTATGGAGCTGCACTGACTTTGATGAGAAATCTTGGTGTTGGTGACCACAAGGAAAGCATTCTGACACTGAAAAACTATGGAGTTTGCTGCAAAAACAAAGGAAAATTTCAAGAAGCAATAAGTGTTCTGACCAAATCAAAACAAGTCGCTGATATTGAATTGGAGGAGGACCACAGATGGAAAGTGATGATTGAAACACAGCTGGCCCTCGTGTATGACTGCACTGGAAATGCAGAAAAAGCGGAAAAAATCATGAGGAAAGCTCTGAACATGAATCAACGCCTCAAACAGTCAATCGATATGTTAGCAAATAAAAGAGAGATCCTGGAATTCCTGAGGCGTCATCCTCAGGTTTACCAAGAGCCTCTGATGAGGTGGAATTCCCGTAGTTAGGGTTAAAAAGTGTGTCAGCACAATTATCCTGTAGTTGTTCGTGAGGTCAAACCAAGGTTGTGCCTCTTTAGGCAAAGACCATAACCTGATACAAATGAACTGTTCAAGTCTTTCATTCGGTTTCTACTTCGCGTGAGTGAGAACTGTCTTCCTTTCGTTTAGTATAGCTAATTACCTGCTGCCGGTAATTGCAGGTGTAAGTTTTAGAGATCAGTCAATAACACGGATAACCTCAGTCTTGCCTCTTTTTACTTTAATTAAAGGACTGGGTTGTTTATTTTTTCTATTTATTTCTCGTGAAGTTGAGGTATACTGACTGCTGTCAGACCGTCAGTTCTTTCCTCTCTCTCTCTCCCCCACCCCCCCCCCCCCTTCCGCTGCTCCTGAACATGACTGCCTTAATTCTTAACCTGGGGCTTAAAAACAAAAGGAACCTTATAAGTCAAATAGCTGGATAGGTGTTTATCCTTTCACCCCTAAGAGTGACCAGCATCTCATTTCTCCTTACAATATCACCCCTCAATCACGCATTAAGGCCACAAGAATAAAGGAAATGATCACCAACTAAAGAAGATCTTGATTGTTAAACAAATTCTCCTTGTCAATACCATAGGAAATGTATAGAAAAAAGTAGGGAGAATATGCCTACTGATGTTAGGGTGTAAAGGGTTAAATAAAGCAGCTTTCATTTGTAACTGGAACCGTTTGTGTGGTAGTGGTCCAGTATCACACATTTCAGTGGCATCGACAATTTGTGTAACCTACCAGATAGTAGGACGTAGTAGGAAAGCCAAGATATCGACTTGAGAAAGTCGTGATTGCAATTCAGTTGACCCGGCCATTCTTTATTTGAAAGTCAGAAGGGTAAAGGAAGAAAAATAAGGGCATGACCAGGAAAACAATAAACAATTATTGGATATCCAAAATAATCAGCCGAAGCCGCCTTACTTCGACCTCGATTATTTTATGGATATCACAAAACCGAATCTAATAATTGTTTTATTATACATTGAACGAAAAAATAAATTGTCACGACAGTAAGCGGAACTTAGGATTTATTTCTAAACGTGTAAAAATTTACAAACAGCAGGCAACACAAAGCGCGCGAACTTGACATGATTATCCTTAGAAATCATGCACTGCGGTCATACATGACACGATTACCCGTGATCCTGAGTGTTTTTGACATGATTATTGTACAATCCTCAGCTAGATGACGTTTAGCAAACTGCAAACCACGATAAATCTGTAAATACATATTTGGAGGGAAATAATGTGTATGTTTGTTGAGGAAGTATATATATTTAAAGGGAGTAAAGAGATACTCGCATAAGCAGCGATAAAAATCAAGACTGATGGAGGTAGGAGACCCCAGTTAGGTGAGGTAACCCGCTCTGTCGTAATCGAAAAATAACCCGCGTTAACACACAGTCTTACAACCCCTGATGCAGGGTTGAAGTTCCTCTGGGTGGTTGTTATCAATATATTAAAGTACATTCATAAATTTCTCTTTTAGGTGCGTTAAAACGGTTTCTGAAATTTCTTTCCTGATTCAAGGTGAGCAATTTAATAATGGTTTGCATTTGATGCCGTGTGTCATATCATGCACGCAGTTATCCCGTGCGTGTCTTGCTGACAGACGATACTCTGGGCAACCCGATACTTTCGTGCTGCTTATCATTACGGCATTAGGTAGGAATTGCTACTTTGAACCAGTAAATATCGCACTTGATAACTGAATATTTTAATTATTCATTATGTTAGAACACTGAGTTAACAAAAGAGATAAAAGCTAAAATGAGAAGAAAGCTGCACTTGTGTGATGGACAGTATGTAATTGTATACAGCTTAGATGAAAGACAAATAATCTAGAAACTCTACCCATGCGTACTAGCTCAATTGCTATGAGAGAAATAAATCATGCGTAAAGAGTTTCTCAGAAAACAGGAAGTGATTCATCATTCACGGTTTCTGAGAATATTATCACCCTGTTCTTGAGCTGTCTATAAATCGTACTGATTATTGAGAGTAATTTAGCATGCTTCCCTAAAGATACAATCTTGTCCACCGATTTTTGTAAAAACATTTAGACAAATTCAGAAAACAAGATCTTTCCGACACGTTTACGAGAAAGAACATGGCGGCGAGTGCAGCCTCTTGTGATCTGTCTACTGGATCGTCTGTGTACGATACATCAGAGGAGAAAACCAATGGCTTAAGACTCGTGCGACTGCTTGTTGATGGAGGAACAGCCATTTTGCGCAAATTTTTGTATTCTGTTTACCCACCGGAACATTTACAGGTCGTCTTAAAGAAGAATAAGGCAAAGCTTCAAAGGCTAAAGTCGAAAGGTGTAATATTTGCAACCCAATGGGAAATGTTATTCCCTCCCTCAGGTGATCCACCGAACGCAGAAGTGTTCGACATTACACTATTGTATTTACTGCTCCGCAACGTTTGTTATCTTACGGTGCCTTCCACTGGATGGCACGAAATGCCTCCGCACGATGACGATAGTCCTGAAGCCAACATCGTCCGGATCAAGTGTTATAGAAATGATTTGTCTCACCGTGCCTCTACCGAAATTTCAAAAGGCGAATTCGAGGATATTTGGACTAAAATATCTTTAGCTATTGTGGCACTTGAAGGAAGTGTACTGAGGAAGAAAATCGAAGCCCTGAAAACCGACCCCATCGATCGCAAAACTCAGCAGCATCTGGAAGAGAAAGTCAAACAATGGAGGAAATTAGAAGAACAAGGTTCGAGCGACGCAAAGTCTGATATTCACAGTTGTTTACCAGACAAGCTACCAGATAAACTACTATTTGGTCGATCCCGAGAAACACAGCAAGTCATAGATATTATTGAAGAAGGTACAATCCCTGTTGCTTTGATCACTGGAGGACCCGGATTTGGAAAGACAACTGTAGCGATCTCAGTAGCTCACGAATTAGCAAGAACCGAAAACAACAGGGCTGTGTTGTTCTGCAGTCTCTCATCAAGAGCAAGTTTAAATGAAGTAGCCACAGAAATGATCCATTCATGTGGAGAAATTCAAACGAAATTGCCGGAGAATCCAGAGCAATGGCTCAAAAACTGGAGTAAACAGATTCATACCCGTGTAACCTTTGTCCTCGACCATGCAGATGATATCCTCGACTCTAATTGCAAAGAACAGTTTCTAAGCCTGTTGCGTACCGTAAGAATGCTGTCAGAGCAAAGAGTGACCTATGTTATTACCACAAGGAAGACTTTCAAAGATTCTGAAATGCATTTTGATGAGATAAGACTTAACCCGTTATTACCCGAAGAGGCAAAAAATATTCTTGTTTCTCGCGTGTACGACAAAGAGGTCCGAAAAAAGCTGAGCAAGACAGAAGAAATAGTCGAGCTATGTGGTTTCGTTCCTTTGGCACTCTGCGTTGTTGGATCCTTGCTTTTAGATTTCCCAGAAGAAAGGCTTATTAAAAACCTCAAAGAGAAACCTTTAGAGGTTCTGGAAGATGACCAGATTTCAGTGAAAAAGGCGATAAAGACTTCATTCGATCTCTTGGAGAAACCTGAACAAGATGCTCTCGTTCTCATGTCTGTGTTTCCGGGTTCATTTGACTCAGATGCTGCTGAGGCTATTGTGGAAGCGTGTGCGAACTCTAGAACGCTGCCTATTTCGATCCTCCGTTCCTTGAAAAACAGGTCCCTCGTGGAGCAGCCAAGTTCCCAAAGGTATCAGTTGCATTCACTGATTAAAGCCTTCGCTAAAAATGTCTGTACATCAGCACCTCTGTTAGCTGAGGGAGAGAAAGTGGCATGTGCTCATTACATGTGTCGCCTCGCAAAAAATGTCAATCTCTTTTGGGGTAAAGACACTTGCAAACAGTCCTTCGACGCCTTTGATGAAGATAGACAAAATTTTGAGCACTTCCTTCTGGCCTACACACAAGGAAGGGAGAACGGCGATATTGCTGTCATGGACTCCTGTGAAGAGTTTCTTGCCAGTCTTCCCCAGAAACTAATGTACCTTGAGAAGTGTGTTCTTCCCAGATTTTACACCGATTTCTTAACGAAGCTAAATGGAACCATCCATCCAAATACTCATCCTGAGCACAAAGTGGAACTGTATTGTCTTCTTGGACATGAAATTAGAAAAGAAGGAAAGAAAGAAGAATACGAGGTCTGCATGGAGGAGGCAGAAAAGCTGTATTTGGAAAACAAAACCAAATTCGACGAGAACCCTTTGTCAGAGGTTATATATCTCAACAGTCATGCTCGTCTTATCTCCAAGAAAAGGATACCCGACAAGCCCAAGGAGGTGTACGAAAGAGCACTAAAAATCTGCGAGCAAAAACTCCCTAATCATCCTGAACGGGCGGCAACATTTTTGTTTGCTGGAAGAAATTCCAAGCGCCGAAATGAATACGAGCGTGCTGAAGAACAGCTCAATCAAGCTTTGGACCTCTCCAAGAAGTGTCTCGGTGAACACATTATGACTGCTCAGTGCTTTAAAGATATCGCCGACTTCCTGTTCTTTGCCAAGAGAAAGTTACCAAAAGGTGAACGAAGTTTTGATGCTGTTCTTTCATATTACGAAAAGTCTCTGGAAATGTTAGAACATCTGGGCAGGGATGGCCACAAGGAGACCATTCTAACTCTGAAGAACTGTGGATCCTGCCACAGTAGCAATGGTAACTACGAGGAAGCAAGAATGTTTTTGGAAAAAGCAGAACGTGTTGCCGAGAGAGAACTGGAGAACGATCATAGGTGGAAAGTAATGGTGAAGACAGAGCAGGCCCTTGTGTTTTACAAAGAAAAAAAAGAAGAAGAGATGATAGAGGCAATGCAAAATGGACTAGAAATGTGTTACAGACTCGGAATGACTGTTGAAGACCTAGGCAACAGGCATCAGATCCGGGAAGTTCTAGACCGTCATTCTGAGAAATTTCCAAAGGATAAGTACCCTCGCTGAAAGGAATGGACGCTCGTTTCAATCTGAATGAAGAATGAATCGACGAGGAACTTTAAGCCCTTCACTGAACAACTGACTTGACATTATTTCTGACTTGAAGATCGGTATATTACTTTTTTAGACTTATAATAATAAATCCACCTCTCCCACGTTATTTTGCATAATGAATTTCAAGCAGCGTTGCTTAAGGAGAGTGCTTTTTTGTAGTATTTTGGAATAATTCAGTGAAGATTAGAAGCATGCATGAAAAGAACAGCAAAGTGTATCTGATCGAGTACTGACAATTCAGAACTCTGATAATTAATGGAATATCTCGAGCACTTACTGCCCAACGAGAGTTTTATTATTCAAAATTTACTAACGCAAGATTTGTTTTGATTTCATTCAGAATTATTTGTTCGTATCATAACTCAACCGGCCACTTTACTTTATTTCATGGTAAGAGGGGTAATTTTAAGGGTAATTGAAGAAATGTGACCGAAGAGACTCGATTTTTGAATTGTTCTTATACATAGTGCAGACTCAAGCGAAAAGGCAAAATTTCTTTGAGCATAATCAGTTACTCGTTAGACAAATTTGTTTGACTGCTTTCAAGTAGAAATGTTCCGAAGATTGTACTTGTCTTTGTCGGTTGTCACTTTCACAGCAAAGCTTACTGTCAAACTTACTAGGTTGTTTAAATGTATGTGAGGAGGATGTTTAGCGAATTTCAACCTCATGTCTGCGATATTATTTCTCCAACATGGGTATGTCCTCCTCTCCACGAAATTTTGCAGATTACTTTTCTTTAATCTCAAAATACTAAGCGAGGAATCTTAAATTTGATTCACCACTGTTACCGTGTGATGTTAGGCATAGGAAAATTAGGTATTTGCAGAAATGTTACAAAAGAGCATTTATATATTCTAAAGATAAAAACAATTAAGTTTTTTTCGACTGAAAAGAATGACATATTCTTTGCTCTTTTGCTGTTAAATTTCGACTGACCTGCTTAAGAAATACTTGAAATATGTCTACTCGTGAAGGATGGATATCATTACAAATCACCGGCAACAGCAATAATTAAACGTGTGAATAAAGATTCTGTCAACGAATACATTGTGTCTTTGATGAGTAGGTAAAGTTCAAGGGGGTAATAGAATATTTTGCGCAAGCTGTTTTCGTGAACTCTCAGGAATGATCGAAAATAAGGAAATAAAGAAAACCAGATTTGTGGAGATAATCCCGTAAGACCAAAGCAACACCAAAAACACATTACACTGTTCCATGATATATGTTTTGTTTCCACTATTTATTATAGATAAACAAAAAAAGGGAAAGTTTAGAAGACTAGAATGAGAACCTTTATGCTTTAATTTGTCGTGGCGGACTATTTTCATCACGAACCTTGGTTATTTTACTTGTTTCAAAGATAACCATGCATTAAATAGTAAAATTACACCCAATGCTGGGCCTTAAGCGTGACCTGAAATCGTGCGTGACTTCTTTCGAAATACGGTATCCCGGATAACCTTGTCTTAATTATTGGCTAAATTTACAACATTTTGTGGATATTTCTTGGCTTCCAAGAATCCTTAAGATCATTATCTTCTAGACAACTTGTTTATCCGCTTCTAATATTCAAAGTGAAATGGTGCTATGTTATGGGTCACGTCTAGCATCTTTTCAGTTCTGTGAAGACGGCTGTTCTAATGTTTTTCAAATTCCGTGGAAGCGTTTGAACTTTGCTTTTGTTGGCCATTCGTCGATTAAATCTCATGGACGAAATGCTCTTTACTGGAAGTCAAACTGACTTCAGAAACAAAGAGAGGGAACAAGCGAGTTGTTTGAGTTGCAATATCGAAGCGGCCTCGAATTTTGTTTTTGGTTTTTTGAAAGTTTCCTTTCGCAATCGAGAATCAGTCACCGTCAGATGTAAAAGAGTTACTATGGCCTGAGAAAAGACGTGGGGTAAACAGGTTTAATTACTTCATTCCCATGCTCTCTTTGGTAATTCTCCTTACTGTCTGCCATACATTGCTTATAATTTTAGTTTGGAGAATTTGGTATTGATTCATATGATAATCCACTAACTGATATTTTTCTACATTCTCATCACTTGTCTACTTGAGATGTATTGATATTGAAAGGAGAAATTCTGTCTTGGTCACTACTGGAAGTGAAAGGTTTAACTCTCGCGTGTTCATTCGTTCATCTTCACCGGAAGGCACAGGCTAATGAGTCCGAAGCTTGGAGCGCTAAAGGAATTCATACCGATAATTAAAATGGTTGCATTATCATAACGTTACTCACAGGTTTGAAAAATACTCAACTAATGTGAGTTGCAAATCAGGAAATGCAATTATGTCTGTCAAAATGAAAGTGTTTTGAAATATTGAAAGTATTGTCCTAAGCATTATCAAAACCCAGCCAAGCGTTCCTGAAACTATACAGTCCATTGCATATGGCGCATTTGGTTAAGATAAAATGGGCATGAAGAAATATTTCTCTTGTATCACTCCATTCACACACCTGCAACATTAAAAAGCGAAAGGAAAAGAAATTGCAAGGTTTGACAGCGAGCAAGATGGTCGACGGAAAATAAGTCCAAGTTGATTGACTCTAAATGGAAACACATTTAACACACTTTCATTACGCTTGCGTCTTAAACACTTGCCGCTTTCAACACTTTTTTTTGCCGTTTCCAAAGTTCCATTTCAGAAGTCGAGAAATTGTAAACCTTTTCCTCTCGCCCCTACCCCCTCCCCTCCCCCCACTCCCCTCTGACACAAGGATGGGAGTGATTGCGTGATGTCTCCTTTCCATAATTGTTATGTCAACAATGAGTTTGTATTTTTTTCCTACATACTTACATCTCATTGGTTCTGAAAACAAAGCCCTGCAGGTTTGATATTATAGTACAGGCTAAGATTATTTGAATTCCTAAATGTGTTTCATCGCTTTCACAGAAGTTTTCCACAGTTACGCTCGTTAATTGTCTAAACAGTGCTAGCAAATGGCGTCCATCTTCGAGCCATCGGAGGAAAAAACTAACGGTACCAAGTTAGCGCGACTGCCAGTTGATGAAGGTACACAAGCGCTCAGGAATGTTTTAGAGTCTTTCATACATCCGCCTTCAACACTGCAAATTATATAAAACAACAACATGGCGACCCTCACCAGCTTAAAGAGCAGACGTAAATTATTTGATAGCCAGTGGGAAAAGCTATTTCACCACCGGGTGGCCTACCAGACTTAAACACAGTTGATATCACTCTTTTACATTTACAGCTTCGTTAAATCTGTCCCGCTTTGATTGAACCTGCAACAGGATGGCACGACATGCCAGCAGAAACAGATCACAGTCGTGAAGTAGAGATCGTGCGGATTAAATGCTTGCGAAACAGCCTGTGTCATAGTATTTCCATCAGTGTTCCTAATAGCGAGTTTGAAGACAAATGGAACACAATTTCTCATTCTTTAGTAGCCCTAGGGCTCTATCAGCTGGAAATAAACCGCCTAAAAACAGAGGACATCGATCATGGTACACAGCAACGAATCGACGAAGAAGTGAAGAAATGGAAGCTTGAATTCGAACCGAGAATGAAGAACTTAGAGCAAGACCTTACAAAGTTAAAACTGGACATTTCAAGCAATCATCAACATATTTTCGCGCCAAAGACCTTAAAAAGTTAAAACTGGACATTTCAAGCAATCAACAACATATTTTCGCGCCAAGCCGGCGTTACTCTAAAGCTTCTCAATTGTCTTCCAGATGAGGTTCACCATCTGTTTGGTCGTTCAGAAGACATCATACGAGCCATAGAGGCTGTTCAAAGCGGAACAGTTTCTATCGTGTCTTTAACGGGAGGACCGGGGTTCAGGAGGACCACTCTGGCCAACAAAGTGGCCCACGAGCTTGCCAAGCCAAAATACAACAGGAGTGTTTTATATTTCTCACTTCTATCCCAAGCATCCCTCGGGGACATAGCAACCACAATGTTCCTTATCTGTAGTAACAGCCACTCTCAGCCGCCTGAAAATCCAACACTTTGGCTTCGTAATTGGAGCATACAGCGAGTTGAGAAAGTAACATTGATTCCAGACAATGCAGATCACGTTCTCGAGTCTGGAGATCGACAAGAGTTTGTTAATATGCTGCGAGATTTGAGGATCTACTCAAGACAGAGTCTATCCTTTATTATTACTTCTAGAAAGACAGTTGATACGTCCAGTTGTGGTTTCAAGATAGAAAACATCAGATTAACCAGTTAGATGATGCGGAAAAGGCCCTGAAAAAAATATTACAAGCAGAACTGAATTTAAAATTTTCCGGGATAAATTGTCTAATGCTTTATAAGCTGAATATATTTAGTTACAACGCCAATTAAGTCGCGAGTCAATTGATTGAGGCCATAAACTTGCTATGAAATTTGACAGATATACGTAAATTTCACTCGAAAATCAAAAATAACCCCGGGCTATCAATCATATTCTCAAGAAAGTACGACTCTAAGAGCATCCCTTTGAGGCTTGCACATATCAAAAACTTGATTTGTTGTGAATAAAGGTGCTAGAGGATATGATCCATTCGTGTGTAGCAGTTTAAACTGTCAAAACAGAGGCACGGAGACTGGAATAAACAGATTCAAACTCAACGCTCAGAACAGCAATACATTTATGCACTAACGGTTTGTGAAATCAATTTCCGTCAGAAATCTTACTACATATCTTTTGCTTGTCATGACTGTTTTCCTTAGCCTTTGAAGTATCTTTTCTGGTTTCTCAGTTGACATTTGATGTTGGTTTGAATATTTTACTTCAGTCATTACTGATTTTCGAATCCTTTGTTATTGAAAAGACAAACAAATTAAATTTACATCAAGGGCAGGAAGTAATTGTCTAAAGATTAAACATTAAAATTCATCTTGAATCTCCAGCCGTCCATAATAGCTAAATTGTTTTGAAAGACACAATTTGCAAAGTTTCTGTGGCAGCGGCTTTCTTGCAAAACAGAAAGCAACTTTGTCGAAACTTCTAGAATTTTTGAGCCCCATAAAAATCGTACTTCTTAATGATGGCAGTTTAGAGTGCTTCCCCGAAGACGTGAGCTTGTTTACCCAGAAGAACTGCAAAGCTGAAGTCAACTCCCTATTCCATCTTTGAAATGAATTGGCTTCGAATGCTTTGGAAGCAAGATATTCCAACGAAAGGTTGATCGGAGACTTGAAAATCGTGTCTGCGTTGATTGTTGATGCACTGTAGATATTTTCTCCTCTCCGGGAGGTTTTCAAAATTTTTTTGTATTTCACATATTTTCAATATTTTTACTTTTACTTATAATTTTCATTTGCCAAGTATTAAATGTCGTGTACATGAAAATTAAGTTTTTAGGGTGACCGCGGTCAACCAGCTTAAAGGTGTTATTAATAGGTATTGTATTCACCACGACTAGATAGTGTCTAGGTTATTGGAGTAGTAGTAGACTTAAGCGGGAATTTCCCGCCAACTCTCAGGACTGATGTCAATTACAGGAGAAAAACGACTCAAATGAAACCAAAAATACAAAACCATCGTGCAATACATGTTTTGTTTGCTTCATTTAATTCTGACAGCCATATCTAAACTAGATCATCAGTACTTCATTTGCTTAAGTCATTAAAGATTAATATGAGACTCTGTATCTTCTTTACTTGAAACATTTCTCGGAAACTGCTTGGATTCCAAGAATCCTTTAGGTCAATATATTCCGGAAAATACGAATGTTCCCCTCAATTTCCTAGAATATTATGGTGTCATGTCATGGGTCACATCGACAATCTTTCAGTTTCTATGCAGGCGCCTCTTTTAGCATTTTCAAGATTTTTCTTTATGGAGTTAAAGAACATGACTGAGTGCACCTATATCTCAAACTAGAGATTCGGATCAAACTGTGACGTGGAACTAACATGCCATAAATGGGTAGTAACAGATATCAGTGTCTTCAGAAGTAATTGCCCAAAAGTTATCGATAGCTATTATTTCGACATCCACTATTTTAGCTTTATTTCATCATTCACGTTTCCGATATAATCTGCTATGATTTT